AAAAAAAAAAAAAAACGTGTATTTTTACTGGCTTACAGAAAGACAGTTATACTATCTGTGGTCAAACAGTTTATTCTGAAGGGTTGTGACTTTCAGATGGCCTCGAACATCTTGGATACACAGCGGGTAAAATAAGTATTGCAAATTATTACAAATAACTTCATTTCTGGACATTTATGGTTTGATTTCTTTGTATGTATGGATCACTTGGGTTGTTACCGAGATCTGGTGAAAATTTCATGTCATTAGCACCTCTAGTAATATATTTACTGAGAAAAATGGTGACGTGTTCAATGCTTATTTTACCCGCTGTAGTCAAAAAGAAGCCTAACAAATCAATAAATTTAATATAAATGTTTTGTTAATATTGACATCTCATATCGTCAGTTTTGTAATAAAATCTGATTTCTCCACAAACACTGAGGTAAAGCCCGTCTGCTCCATGCTTCTCTTCAGTCTGGACCCCGCTGTCCTGTGATGTTCCTCACTCTCAGAGTGGACCTGCGCTCAGTGACCGAGATGATTTAAGTGAAGAAATGGAGCTGTCAGCAGAGAACAGCTGCTCATTAGGAAGTGTGGCAAACAGGGTTCTGTTATTCAGTCAGACATTCCTGCTGTCAGATTAAGCTCCTGGACTTCAGCTCCAGTCAACATGGTGGCTAATCATAAAACCTGGACGCCAGTTTTTGACCCGAATGTTTCAGAGAAGCAAGTTAATTTGACCTGAAGGCCATATCAGATTGAGAATGAAGTCATTATGAGGTTTTGTGATGAAGAATTGAGCCTGCAAACAGGTTCAGCATCACATCTTTTTTTTAACCTACAGCAAAATAAATCATCCTGGGAATAAGTCCGTCTCTGGCTGAGGCTCAACAACAGGAATTATTTGATCACAGTCGCTCAGCTCCTGCCCAACCTGAGAGAATTACTACCTCTGCTCACTGATGCAGTCTGATGTTTCTGATGTTGGGTCAGCCGCCGGTCAGGAAACGTCATCACGTAGTCATCTTGCTTAAACTTTGGATTCTTAACGTCTTGCTCATTGATTGCTACAAGTTGAAGACATCAGCAGATGATTGACAGAACAGTTATTGCTCAGTTGTGTCAAAACTATCCCATGTCCATCTGTCTCCACATCTTTTTTCAATACCTGCTCTACTGCCAACATGAGTAGCTCTACTCCCTGCTGTGGGAACATAAAAAAAAACCTGAGGCCACTGAGCTGGTTGGAGACCTGATCTCAAGATGAAAAGTCAATGTTTGTTGGCCCAGAGCTGAAGATTAAATAAAATAGGAATAATGCAGCCAGCTAGTTGCAAGGATTATACTTTTTTATTTTTTGGTTCAAATCATTATTACTTTCAAACCTTTATTACAGACTCAAGGTCCACAAAACAAAGACAAGAGAAGCAGATCAACAATAAAATCCAAAAACAAACAAACAAAAAAACAAAGAACAATAAAAGACAGCTGTACCAGTACCTCCACAACTGGGACGTGTAGTGTGTAACACTGAGTCTTATGTTAGTCAAGCTCCAACGTGTCTTCTTGTTTTTTTTCTCCCAGGTCATCGTTTCGAGGATGTTCCCGGGGTCCGCAGACACCTCGTCAGAAAGAGCACCAAAGGACAGATAGTGCACATCGGCAAAGACCACAAAGAGCCGACAACTCGCAGCCGAAAGCAGGACCGCACCCCACATGAGGTGAGGGCTTCCAGCTTCAGGTTCTCCAACATCCTGCAGAGGCTGAGGATAATCAGAGTCTAATTCAGCTTGTATTAACGTCAAACTCATCAGTGCTTAATATTTTTATTTAACTAAGAGGTAAAACACTATGAAAAAACTATATTGAAAATAATTAGATTTATTTTTTTATTAATCTCTTAGTTTTTAAATGGGACATATCATTCAAAATTCCCTTTTTTAGCTGTTGAATACATTTTGTTTTGTATTTGGAGTCTCTAGGAGTGCAGAAAAATTTAGTCTCAGTGTCATGATGTCAGTAATATTTTCATTTTAAACATTTTTCTTTTTTTGCTCTGATTTAGCTACAACTTGGGGTAAATGTCTTCTCATGTTTTTCGTCTCAGTTTAGCTCATCTCTTTCTGTTTTATTGATGCGACAGTGGAGACGGTTAAAAATGAATGAATGAGTTCTTTCCTTTCACACGCCAAAGGATGAAGAGAGGAGAGAGGCTCTCAGGTAACCAGATGCTGAAAGCTCCTGAGAAAAAACAGGAGAGGCTGAGGGGGGGCTATGTTTTATTAACACACACTTATTATCATCCTCCGCTCTGAGCCCCCAGCAGCCCAGGTAAACAAAGTCCTGTCAGGTGTGTGAGGGGGTCAATTAGCCGTGGGTTTCCACATTAAGGGTCTGCTTCAGGTTGTGTTTGAGCGCGCTCCTGCTCCGTCTCGCTCCTGCAGTCGTTACCGGTGGTTGTGTACCGCTCCGCCTCACGACCAGACGGCATCGTCCTGAACGCCGCTCGAATGGCTCGTTACAATAAGGTGAGGCTGGGGCGGCCCCGGCCACGGTCAGCTCTGACCTGTGTGAGCGTGATTTCACAGGCATGCAGCAGGTGCAGCAAGGAGGCCGATTTTACACGCAGCATGGAGTTTAAATAACTTGATTTAACAAATGCTGAATGCTGATGGGGGGGCTGTTTTGGCTAAACTTTTATTTATTTTTTTTAATGTTCATTGCACATTATATTATGGTTGTATAAATAATGAAAGAATTTTAAATGACTTCTCCAAAAGCATTAGATATTACATCTGTGTTTTACCACTAGCTTGAAGTCTCTTAAAGCTGCAGCCCTATATGGTAATAAAAGCTATGAATTACATTATTTAATACTAATAAAAACACTTAATATGGAGTCTTGATTAAATATATTAACTATTAAAGGTAAGTTATGTGTTTTGAGTAATTTGGGTCGCTTGGTTTTCTTTGTAAGCATGAGGTTTGTTTTTGTGTGAGCTGGTTTTCTGAGCAGAAACCTAGTAAAGTGAAGTTCAGTTGTTTGTAATTGTGGATATGTAAAACAGTTTTAATAATTCATGTCTCACTTGTAGATGACTCTTTAAACAGCCTAAATTTTGAGGAATCTGGTTTAGTTCTGACTGGGCTGACGAGCTAATGGTTAACCCAAGCAAGGACTGGGATCAAAACATCGTTTTAAAATGAGTACGATTTGAAAACATTCAAAGCAGTTCATGTGAATGCTATTTTTATTAAGTTTAACATCGCTGTGTGTTTTGCTTTGTACTGTCTACATGAAATCCTGTTTAGCAGCAGCAGCTAGCTGTGGCAGTTTTGGTGTAATTTCAGGAATATCAGAACTTTTCTGCCAGAATACCTTTATAATGCAGAAAAGTTTATGTAGAAGTAAAAACTGCATGAACTGCTATGAATTTATTTAGATAAGAGTTGTTCCCAGTTTAGTCAGAACCAACCTCTTGAGGTCTGCAACCCTGTTCCTCTTGACCCACTGTCCTGCAGGGTTTAGATTTTCCCTGCTTCAGCACACCTGCTTCAAATAAATGACCTACTCAGAATGTCATCCAGTTTAGCAGAAGCCTGTCAGTCACTCATTCTTTTCAGTCAGTTGTGTTGAAGCAGGGAAACAGCTAAAACATGCAGGACAGTGGGTCACCGAAGACCTCTGCTTTAAACTGAAGTGGTTCAAAGAGTATCTACGACAGGTAAGATAATTGTTCTTTAACGTCTCCTTCAGGTGTTTGTGGAACTGAACGAGCTGACGATGGACAAGAACCAGGAAATGCAGTGGAAGGAGACGGCTCGTTGGATCAAGTTTGAGGAGGACGTGGAGGAGGAGACGGACCGTTGGGGGAAGCCCCATGTTGCTTCGCTGTCTTTCCGCAGTTTGTTGGAGCTCAGAAGGACCATCTCCCACGGTAAAGTATGCTTTTTTCTTTTTTTTTCAAGTCTTAAAGTAACGCGGCTCCTAAACGACCGTGCACGCTTGCAGGAGCGGTGCTGCTGGATTTGGACCAGAAGACCCTGCCTGGCATCGCCCACCAGGTGGTGGAACAAATGATTATCTCAGACCAGATCAAAGCAGAAGACCGATCCAACGTCCTGAGAGCTCTGCTGCTTAAACACAGGTGATTAAAACGCTGGCGCTGATGATCAGATGCTTGCTAAGTTCTGAACACTGACTCATATAATCTCTAATGAGTAGAAGTTGTTTTTTGTTGCTCACCCTCTCTCTCTCTCTCTCCCTTTTCCTGCCTCCCAAAGTCACCCGTGCGACGAGAAGGACCACACTACCCATTTCCCCAGAAACATCTCAGCAGCCAGCCTGGGCAGTCTGATCCCACACCACCACAACGTGAACCACAACCATCAGCCGGAGCCGTCTGTGACCGACCCCCTGATGGGCGTGGGCAACTCCACGGCCGACAGCGACACTCGCATCGACATGGACAGGAACGAGCTGCAGGTACGTCTGCGTTTAAAGCCTTAATAAGAGTCAGCTCTGCCTTGTTGTCTTCATCCTCCTGATGGTGTTTTGTGGGAGCAGAAGGAACCAACCCTTGGACTGGGCATGCATCGGTCCAAGTCCAAACACGAGCTGAAGCTTCTGGAGAAGATTCCAGAGAACGCTGAGGCCACCGTGGTGCTTGTGGGTGAGTCATTGATATAAACTGGGACGACTTTACAAAACGTTGCTCCTGCGTTCCTCTTTTTTACACTGCAAAAAATGTCCAGCTAACAAGTTTTAAAATCTTATATCCAGCCAAAAAGTCTTTTTGATCTTGTTTTGAGACTGATAACAAGAAGTGATTGTGTAAGAATAATCTTGTTTTCAGAATGTGTAAGATTATTTGTAATGTTAGTCTGAAAATTTGACTCAAATTAAGTCAAAAACTTCTGCCAGTGGAATAAGAAAATTTTACTTGGTAAGATTCTTGAAATAAGAAAAAAAAAAGAGTCAAATCAAGTATTTCAAGAATTTTACCAAGTAAAATTTTCTTACTCCATTGGCAGAAGTTTTTTACTTAATTTGAGTCAAATTTTCAGACTAACATTACAAATAATCTTACACATTCTGAAAATAAGTTTATTATTCTTACACAATCAGTTCTTGTTTAGTAAATCAGTCTCAAAACAAGATCAAAAAGACTTTTTGGCTGGATATAAGATTTTAAAACTTGGTAAGATGGACAGTTTTTGCAGTGTATCGGCTTGTTATTTTACTCACTGGTCTTGCGGACTTCCAGGCAGCGTGGACTTCTTGGAGCAGCCCACCATGGCTTTTGTGAGGCTGCAGGAGGCGGTGGAGCTGGAGTCGGTTCTGGAAGTGCCCGTCCCCGTCAGGTTCCTCTTTGTTCTGCTGGGACCTCCAACCAGTAGCATGGACTACCACCAGATCGGACGCTCCATCTCCACTCTCATGTCTGACAAGGTGAACCAGATGTTTCATCCAACAATAAAGAACCAGCGACTCGGAGGAAATCCGGAGCGAGCAATAATCTGATTTGCCTTGCAGCAATTTCACGAGGCAGCTTACCTGGCAGACGACAGGCACGACCTCCTGAACGCCATCAACAGCTTCCTGGACTGCAGCATCGTGCTGCCGCCTTCAGAGATGGGAGACGACGAGCTGCTGCGCTCCGTCGCCCGCTTTCAAAGGGAGATGCTGCGCAAGAGAGAAGAAGTGAAACTGCTGGCAAAGGAGCCAAAAAGCCTCGAAGAAAAAGGTGAGCTTCTCAAATTAACGTTTAGTCCTCTTTTATGACTTTTATTTCCCCATATCTGATAACCGGATCTGTCTTTCCGTCACCCAGAGGCCCTGCTCGCACCTTCAGAGAAGTCGGACGACCCCTTAAAGCGCACCGGGCGCCTCTTTGGGGGGCTGATAAAAGACATTCAGCGCCGGTACCCAAAATACATCAGTGACTTCAAGGATGCTCTGAGCAGTCAGTGCATGGCTGCGGTTATCTTCATCTACTTTGCTGCTCTTTCTCCAGCGATAACGTTTGGAGGCTTGCTAGGTGAGGTCGTGTTTTTCTGATTTAGTCTCATTCGTGAGGCAGAACTAGTGAATGTGTTAACGAGCTGCCGGCTGTGGCATTAATGAGATGTTTGTTAAAAGGTGAGAAGACGGAGGGTCTGATCGGCGTCTCGGAGCTGATCGTGTCGACGTCGATGCAGGGCATCATCTTCTGCTTACTCGGAGCTCAGCCGCTGCTCATCGTGGGCTTCTCCGGACCCCTGCTGGTCTTTGAAGAAGCGTTTTTCAGTGTAGGTGTCCCGTTATTGTGTCTATAAATAAAAACAGATTGTTTTCTTTGTAAATGTCTGGGTTTTTGTAAGTATAGTAGTTGTAAGTATTCCAAGAAAATAAAAATGTAATAAATCGCTCATAAAAATGCTAAAATTCTAATTTGTCACTTGATTTTTGCCAAATATAATCTGTTCACAAATTAAGACACAATTTTCRGGTGAAAACATAAACAAACAGCTTTGTGTTTTTGCAGTTCTGCAAAGCGAATGCTATCGAGTATCTAACGGGCCGCGTCTGGATCGGCTTTTGGCTCATCATCATCGTCACCATCATGGTGGCCTMTGAAGGCAGCTTCCTGGTGCGCTTTGTCTCCTGCTTCACCCAGGAAATCTTCTCCTTCCTCATCTCCCTCATCTTCATCTGCGAGACCTTCGTCAAACTCGGGCAGGTACGCCTGAGATAAGTCCTGAAAAAGAATTATTATTTTAACTTATGCTTTCAAAAGTTAGTGCAAAATAAAATATTCTAAGCTTTGGGCTGTTTTTTTTTTATTCAGCATTTGAATATTTTCTATTAAAGTTTTGCTTTCCTCTCTCGTGTGCAGATTTTCACGGAGCACCCGCTGAAACGCTGCTCCCTCATCAATGACACAAAAGGAGACGCGACGGCAGCAAACATCTCTCTGGTTCAGGCCAACGGCTCGCTTCCAAACAACYACACTCAGATTGTAAGTGTCAGCGGAGAGCCCAACACTGCTCTGCTCTCCCTGGTTCTCATGGCGGGGACGTTCTTCATCGCCTTCTACCTGCGAAAGTTCAAGAACAGCGCCTTTTTCCCTGGAAGGGTGAGYCTTGATTTTCACTAGTCAGTAGGAAAGTCTGAGGACAGAGTTGATATTAAAAACCTGTTTTAGTGCCCACAGGTAATCTTTAGACACAAGTTGTGTGTTTTCTCATGAGTGTAGATGTTTACACCGTCTCACCACATCCCTGAGTTCAGCTGGAGTCTGACTTTTTCATTCTGATCTAATCCAGATCCACTAAATTATTTTGTTGTCTAGTTCCGACGGATGATTGGAGACTTCGGAGTCCCCATTGCGATCCTCATCATGGTCCTGGTGGATTACAGCGTTGACGACACTTACACACAGGTGAGTTTCAGCCGACCGTGTGTTTGGTCCACACTGCAGCCCCCGCTGATCGCCCCTGTCTGCTCRCCGTCCAGAAACTCAGCGTTCCCAAAGGATTCTCTGTGACGAGCACCAACAAGAGAGGCTGGTTCATCAAACCTCTGGGCTCAGACGGTAACTTCCCCATCTGGATGATGTTTGCCTGCTGTCTGCCCGCACTGCTGGTTTTCATCCTCATCTTCATGGAGACTCAAATCACCACGTGAGCGACGATGCACACAACTGATAGACAAAGATCTGTTTGTTTTTGTTTTCTGATGAATTATTAAAGGGATCCACGATTAGTTGTAACATTAGACTTTATTTGATAAACAAATATTTTAACTGTAAAAATACTGTAGGCCGTTTAGTTTTGTAAATATTTTAAAATATATTTTAACATGGATGGAGCCATTTACACACAAAGCATTCTGGATGAATGATGATGTGGATAGGTCCTGTGTGTAAGCGAGCTATATATAGAAGAAGAACCTTAGCTTAGCCTGTTAGCCTTTGAGCTAGCTCCAACGCTGTATTGCCTTATATGTATTAGCTCGGCGCTAGCTCGACAAACAAACAAGCTAAACTGAGGTCCTCCATCCATATTTTCAGTTGCAGGCTGAGTCATTTTGTGTTTCCCTCTCTGTCATGTGGATGGAGGACCTCAGTGATGACAGGAGAATGTGTAGCGCTGAGCTAATACATATATATGGTGATAGCGTCAGGGCTAATGCTAAAGCTAACTGGCTAAGCTGAGGTTCTTCTTCCATGAAGCAGCTCTGTTGTCCTCCATCCATATTTTCAGTTACAGGCTGAGTCATTTCTATGTTTCCCTCTCTGTCATGTGGATGGAGGACCTCAGTGAAGATGTCGGCGGTGGCGGCAGATGTATGTAGCTGTGCAGTATCGCTGCAGGAAAATAC